ACCAAGGCAGAGACATCTCCAGCTCATTCCCTGTTTTGGTATCAGCCAGCACGTCAACGACTTAAATCTAGAAATAGTTTTCTAAGATCTACAGAGACACTCGCTGGGACACCTCAGCAAGCGAGAGTCCAAAAGTGGCAGGCTCAAACCCAGAACCTCAATCAATGGCTGATACCAAATGAGAGACTCCCCCTGGGCACACAGAAGATGGGGCGACTTGGAAGGCGCTGAACAGACTGCGCTCTGGCACCACGAGATGCAGAGCCAACCTTCAGAAATGGGGCCACAAAGTAGAATCCTCGACATGCGAGTGTGGAGAAGAGCAAACCACTGACTGCCTACTGCAATGCAACCTGAGCCCTGCCACATGCACAATGGAGGACCTTCTTGCAGCAACACCGGAAGCACTCCAAGTGGCCAGATACTGGTCAAAGGACATTTAACCAGCTACCAAACTCACAAGTTGTGTATTTTTCTGTTTGTTTGCTTTGTTCTGTTAGAAATGTAATATAATGGACTGGTTGCTCTGACACGACAAATAAAATAAATCCATGTCCCAGCATTACTTCCAATTTTAATTTTACATTTGGCCTTCCCACTGTTTTTAATTGTGTATTGTCTTATTGATAATGTTGTATATTTTATTGTCTATGTTTTTATTTTAATTGCTTGTATTGTGATTATTGCTTGTATTGTTGTTTGGGCTCGGCCTATGTAAGCCGCACCAAGTCCCTTGGGGATATGGTAGCGGGGTACAAATAAAGTATTATTATTATTATTATTATTATTATTATTATTATTATTACTGCAACCCAGCTTTTGCGCTTTCCTCTTTCACCATGATTAGAAGGCTCCTCAGCTCCTCCTCGCTTTTTATTTATTTTATTTATTTATTATTTGAACTTATATGCCGCCACTCCCCTGAGGCTCGGAGCAGCTTACAAGAACAGGCTAAAATTGAACACAATTAAAAAATTTAAAACAATTTAAAAACAATCAGAGATCAAAGGCCCGTCAAAACAGATATGTCTTACATGCCCTGCGGAAAGCTGATAAGTCCCGCAAGGCACAGACTTCAGGTGGCAGAGTATTCCAGAGTGATGGTGCCACTGCTGTAAAGGCTCTGCGTCTGGTTGCTGTTAGACGCAAGGTCTTGACACTGGGAATTTCCAATAGATCTTGGTCCTCAGAACGGAGGGATCTCTGGGGTTGGTAGGGGGTGAGGCGGTCCCTCAGGTACATCGGCCCCAGACCATGCAAGGCCTTAAAGGTGAGTACCATCCCTTTGAAAGTGATCCGGTGCTCAATTGGTAACCATCCAAGTGGTGTCATCTGCATATCTAAGGTTGTTAATGTTTCTTCCAGCAATTTTTACCCCAGCCTTGCATTCGTCAAGCCCCGCACATTGCATGATGTGTTCTGCATACAAGTTGACTAGGCTTGGGCGGTTTCGTTCGCTAATTTCGTAATTCGTTATTAATTCGTATTTAAATTAGCTTACGATCCAATATTGAGCCATGCAGGAATAGTGTGAGGAGTAAATTAGATTCGAAACAATTTTTTCAATTTATTTCGTAATTATTTCGTAATTATTTCGTAATTATTTCGTAATTATTTTCGCATGTCTGGTGCAAGTTTTATAGTTGTGTGTTTTATCACACCAACAGTCAACAACAGAGGGAGAGGGAAGCTTCAGTAGTTTCCCCCTGTCCCATTTGGAGGTTTTTAAAGCATATTGCGCAATCGCGTCCGCCATTAACGAATCGATTCGTAATTTTACGAAATTTCGTATATTTCGAAATTTTTAAAAGGAAAATTTCGGAATTATTAAAAAAAACGAAACGCAAGGGCCCCCTAAAAACAAAACGAGTTTAGAACCAAAATTTTCCGTGGTTACCCAAGCCTAAAATTACCTGCAACATTTGGCCTCTTAAGGGCATCATGGTGCCAGCACAAAACAATAAGTTGCACCAGTTTGTTACGATGTGGCAGGCTGCTTGCTAAGAATGGCAGTTCAATCCCAGGCCGCACTCCACTGCAAACTCCCGTCATGGCTTCAAGCAACGTCTTCTTGCCTGCAGTAGGAAAAGAAAACATGAAGGCTATCTGTGTTGAGAACGACACAGGTCAATGATCTTGCCAAAGAAAGCACGCAAGGGCCACGAGAGGGCAGCACGGCATTGAATGAAGTTGCAGTTGGCTTTATTTTTCCATCCACTTTTGGCATTAGCTCTTAACTCTGACAGTAGTCAGAATCCTACTGATTCACAATGCTGTTTGCTCCACTTTTCCCGGGGCGCTGTGTCAAAGGAAGGCAGACCAAAACGGTCAGCTCCCAGCTGTAGCCTAGTTCTCCAGTGCTTGATGTCTTTCTTAATGGTCACTATGCAGCCTTTTGCCTCCAGCTGCCAGGGAAAATGGGAGCTTGGCCAATGTTTGTGCAAGGCTCAAAGAGAATTAAGTTAAGTTTGCCAAAGGTGTTGCCAGAGCCATGTTGCTATTTCTAGTCAGGCACTAACGAGCCAAATCTAGCCGATTATTAATGCCCGTCATGGAGAAGGGTCAGGTGCAGAAAGGAGGGAGAAAAATAATAAAATAATTCACTATCTGCTTTGATTATCTGAGTCTTACTTACTTACTTACTTACTTATAGTGCTCTCTGGATGTAGGTGAACTACAACTCTCAGACTCAAGGTCAATGCTCACCAAACCCTTCTAGTGTTTTCTGTTGGTCTTGGGAGTCCTGTGTGCCATGTTTGGTTCAATTCCATCATTGGTAGCGTTCAGAATGCCCTTTGATTGTAGGTGAACTATAAATCCCAATAACTACAACTCCCAAATGACAAAATCAATTTTTTGAGTGAAAGACATACATTGGATTGTTAGGTGTATGCTGTCCAAATTTGGTGTCAATTTGTCCAGTAGTTTTTGAGTTCTGTTAATCCCACAAACGAACATTATATATATATATATATATATATATATATATACACACACACACAAGCCATCCCCTGCCACGTGTTGCTGTGGCCCACTCTGGTGGTCATGGGGGTTCTGTGTGGGAAGTTTGGCCGAATTCTATCATTGGTGGGGTTCAGAATGCTCTTTGATTTATAGGTGAACTATAAATCCCGGCAACTACAACTACAACTCCCAAATGTCAAGGTCTATTTCCTACAAACTCCATCTCTGTTCATATTTGGGCATATGGAATATTCGTGCCAAGTTTGGTCCAGATCCATCGAGAGCAGTACGTGCGAAAAAGATCTTGGAGTCCTCGTGGACAACAAGTTAAACATGAGCCAACAATGTGATGTGGCGGCAAAAAAAGCCAATGGGATTTTGGCCTGCATCAAGAGGAGCATAGTGTCTAGATCTAGGGAAGTCATGCTCCCCATGCTCTATTCCGCTTTGGTTAGACCACACCTGGAATATTGTGTCCAATTCTGGGCACCACAATTCAAGAGAGATATTGACAAGCTGGAATGTGTCCAGAGGAGGGCGACTAAAATGATCAAGGGTCTGGAGAACAAGCCCTATGAGGAGCGGCTTAAGGAGCTGGGCATGTTTAGCCTGAAGAAGAGAAAGCTGAGAGGTGATATGATAGCCATGTATAAATATTTGAGGGGAAGCCACAGGGAGGAGGGAGCAAGCTTGTTTTCTGCTTCCCTGGAGACTAGGACGCGGAACAATGGCTTCAAACTACAAGAGAGGAGATTCCATCTGAACATGAGGAAGAACTTCCTGACTGTAAGAGCTGTTCAGCAGTGGAACTCTCTGCCCCAGAGTGTGGTGGCCATCCAGCCAACAGATGGCTGGATGGCCATCTGTCGGGGGTGCTTTGAATGCAATTTTCCTGCTTCTAGGCAGGGGGTTGGACTGGATGGCCCATGAGGTCTCTTCCAACTCTTTGATTCTATGATTCTATGGTAGAGTCCAAAGTGCTCTCTGGATGTCGGTGAACTACAACTCCAAAACCAAAGGACACTTCCCACCAAACCCTTCCAGTATTATCTGTTAGTCATGGGAGAACTGTGTGCCAAGTTTGGTTCAATTCCATCGTTGGTGGGGTTCAGAATGCTCTTTGATTGTAGGTGAACTATAAATCCCAGCAACTACAACTCCCAAATGACAAAATCATTTTTTTTTTAGTGAAGGACATACATTGGGTTGTTAGGTGTCTTGTGGCCAAATTTGGTGTCAATTCGTCCAGTGGTTTTTGAGTTCTGTTAATCCCACAAATGAACATTACATTATATACACACACACATACACAAGCCATCCCCTGCCACGTGTTGCTGTGGCCCACTCTGTTGGTCATGGGGGTTCTGTGTGGGAAGTTTGGCCCAATTCTATCATTGGTGAGGTTCAGAATACTCTTTCATTTATAGGTGAACTATAAATCCCGGCAACTACAACTACAACTCCCAAATGTCAAGGTCTATTTCCTCCAAACTCCATCTCTGTTCATATTTGGGCATATGGAATATTCGTGCCAAGTTTGGTCCAGATCCATCATTGGTAGAGTCCAAAACTAAAGGTCGATGCCCACCAAACCCTTCCAGTATATTCTGTTGGGCATGAGAGTTCTGTGTGCCAAGTTTGGTTCAGTGTTCACATTTGGGCATATTGAATATTCATGCCAAGTTTGGTCCAGCTCCAACGTTCTTTGAGTCCACAGTGCTCTCTGGATGTAGGTGAACTACAACTCCAAAACTCAAGGTCAACACCCACCAAACCCTTCCAGTATTTTTTGGTGGTCATGGGAGTTCTGTCTGCCAACTTTGGTTCAATTCCATCATTGGTGGAGTTCAGAATGCTCTTTGATTGTAGGTGAACTATAAATCCCAGCAACAACTCCCAAATGTCAAGGTCTATTTCCCTTAAACTCCATCTAGTGTTCACATTTGGGCATAGAGCATTCTGAACTCCAGAATGCTCTATTCTGGAGTTCAGAATGCTCTATGCCAAGTTTGGTCCAGCTCCAACATTCTTTGAATCCACAGTGCTCTCTGGATGTAGGTGAACTACAACTCCAAAAGTCAATGCCCACCAAATCTTTCCAGTATTTTCTGTTGGGCATGGGAGTTCTGTGTGCCAAGTTTGGTTCAATTCCATCACTGGTGGAGTTCACAATGCTCTTTGATTGTAGGTGAACTATAAATCCCAGCAACTACAGCTACCAAATGTCAAGGTCTATTTTCCCCAAACTCTGCCAGTGTTCACATTTGGGCATATTGAGTATTTGTGCCAAGTTTGCTCCTGATCCATCATTGTTTGAGTCCACAGTGCTCTCTGGATGTAGGTGAACTACAACTCCAAAACTCAAGGTCACCCTCCAGTATTTTCTGTTGGTCATGGGAGTTCTGTGTGCCAAGTTTGGTTCAATTCCATCGTTGGTGGGGTTCAGAATGCTCTGTGATTGTAGGTGAACTATAAATCCCAGCAACTACAACTCCCAAATGACAAAATAATTTTTTAAGGATCAAATTGGAGAGGAAGATGTTTTTAAAAAATTGTTAAAAGTTAAAGGGGAAAGATGACGCAAAGCATCCGAACGCCTACCTCTCAGTGGCTTCTGTCTGCTTAGAACTTCCCAACACATCATTCCAAAGCTAGGCACAAATATTAAAAGATAGAATCGTATTAGTTCAGAATATTTGCCTACACAAATGAGCAAAGTAACAAACATAAGAAAACATTATGCAAAAACCACCTCCATTTCTATTATTTGGCTGTATAGCTATTCCAGTTATTCTGAAGACACAAACTTTTCCAAAAGTTTACATGTGTCAAGGATCTTACGCCCCTTCTTCTACACAAGTGTTTCTCAACCTGGGGTCGGGACCCCTCAGGGGGTTGCCAGGGGGTGTCAGAGGGGTCGCCAAACACCTTAAGAAAACACAGTATTTTCTGTTGACCACGGGAAGTTTGGCGCAATTCTATTGTTAGTGGGGTTCAGGATGCTCTTTGATTGTAGGTGAACTAGAAATCTCAGCAACCACAACTTCCAAATGTCAAGGTCTATTTCCCCAAACTCCACCAGTGTTCACATTTGGGCATATTGAGTATTCGTGCCAAGTTTGGTCCAGATCCATCATTGTTTGAGTCCACTGCTCTCTGTATGTAGGTGAACTACAACTCCCAAACTCAAGGTCAATGTCCACCAAACCCTTCCAGTATTTTCTGTTGGTCATGGGAGTTCTGTGTGCCAAGTTTGGTTCAATTCCATCGTTGGTGGAGTTCAGAATGCTCTCTGATTGTAGGTGAACTATAAATCCCAGCAACTACGGCTCCCAAATGTTGAGGTCTATTTTCCCTAAACATAACAGTGTTCACATTTGGGTATATTGAATATTTGTGCCAAGTTTGATCCAGATCCATCAATATTTGAGTCCATAGTGCTCTCTGGATGTAGGTAAACTACAACTCCAAAACTCAAGGTCAGTGCCCACCAAACCCTTCTGGTATTTTATGTTGGTCATGGGAGTTCTGTGTGCCAAGTTTGGTTCAATTCCATCATTGGTGGAGTTCAGAATGCTCTTTGATTGTAGGTGAACTATACATCCCAGCAACTATAACTCCCAAATGTCAAGGTCTATTTTCCCCAAACTCCATCTGTGTTTATATTTGGGCATATTGAATATTCATGCCAAGTTTGGTCCAGATCCATCATTGTTTGAGTCCAAAGTGCTCTCTGGATGTAGGTGAACTACAACTCCCAAACTCAAGGTCAATGCCCACCAAACCCTTCCAGTATTTTCTGTTGGTCATGGGAGTTCTGTGTGCCAAGTTTGGTTCAATTCCATCGTTGGTGAAGTTAATAATAATGATAATAATAATAATAATAATAATAATAATAATAATAATAATAATAATATAAAACTTTATTTATACCCCGCTACCATCTCCCCAAGGGACTCGATGCGGCTTACATGAGGCCGAACCCACAATACATCAGTAATACAAACAATAACAACAATAATACAAGCAATAATATAAAACTCATAACAAAAGTATGGCACCGGGATTATGGCGCAGCTGGCTAAGTGTCAGCTGCATTAAGATCACTCTGACCAAAAGGTCATGAGTTCGAAGCCAGCCCAGATTGGAGTGGGTTTCCAACCAATTGCGTGTAGCCTGTTGTCGACCTTTGCAACCCGAAAGACAGTTGAATCTGTCAAGTAGGAAAATTAGGTACCACCTTAAAGTGTGGGGAGGCTAAATTAACTGATTTATGAGGTCATAAAGAAGACTCCAGCAAAGCATTCCAGCGGGGAAGCATGCGGGGAATGCGGAAGTGCTTCATCAGCGTCGCAGATGGACGATGAAAGCGACAGCTCCCCTGGTGGCCAGAAAAAGTTAAATAGCCTCTGTGTATGTCTGTATATGTTGTATGTCAAAATTGGCATTGAATGTTTGCCATATATGTGTACACTGTAATCTGCCCTGAGTCCCCTGCGGGGTGAGAAGGGCGGAATATAAAAGCTGTAAATAAATAAATAAATAATAAATGTCAAGTCTATTTTCCCCAAACTCCACCAATGTTCACATTTGGGCATATTGAGTATTTGTGCCAAGTTTGGTCCAGATCCATCATTGTTTGAGTCCACAGTGCTCTCTGGATGTAGGTGAACTACAACTCCAAAACTCAAGGTCAATGCCCACCAAACCCTCTCAGTATTTTCTGTTGGTCATGGGAGTTCTGTGTGCCAAGTTTGGTTCAATTCCATCGTTAATGGAGTTCAGAATGCTCTCTGATTGTAGGTGAACTATAAATCCCAGCAACTACAACTCCCAAATGTCAAGGTCTATTTTCACCAACGCCAGTGTTCACATTTGGGCATATTGATTATTCGTGCCAAGTTTGGTCCAGATCCATCATGTTTGAGTCCAAGTGCTCTCTGGATGTAGGTGAACTACAACTCCAAAATCAAGGTCATGCCCACCAAACCCTTCCAGTATTTTCTGTGTCATGGGAGTTCTGTGTGCCTAGTTTGGTTCAATTCCATCGTTGGTGGAGTAATAATAATAATAATATAATAATAATAATAAATAAAACCTTATTTATACCCCGCTACCATCTCCTCAAGGGACTCGGTGCAGCTTACATGAGGCTGAGCCCACAATACATCAGTAATACAAACAATAACAACAATTGGCTTCCCGCCAAAATGGAACTGTAGAGGAGAGTCTACTGAACAAGCCAGTACCTTCCGCATACCGGTGCTGCCATCTGTTGAGGAGTTACGACGGTGGAGGCATTACTTTTCATTCAACCCTCGTAGTTGTTCTACTTCAGAAACTTTGTTTTTGTGGCTGCCACAAATTCTGTTGAATGAACAAATGTTTCAAATGATCCCGTTTTGATTTTAAAACTCACCTGTACATGTCACCTTCCTGTGAGAAGCAGCCTCCCTGAAGTATTTCAGGGGAGAGGTAAAGCAAATCCCAACTGCTTCTATTGTTACAGTTCTGCAAGAGTGAATGGATTTGCTGGCTCCTCCACGTGGCTAAGCCATAATCTGATATCTGCAAGAAGGAAGTGCCATTTTCAGATAAGGTATATGCACATTCAGAAGATGACCTACAAGCCTTTCTAAACACCTTTGCAGAAGCATACGAGAAGCTCGGTCTGTCATCGAACATCAAGAAAACCAAAGTGCTGTTCCAGCAGTCACCAGCCAATCCCTTTCCAAGGCTTAATGGTGTAACGTTAGAAAATGTTGACCATTTCTGCTACCTTGGCAGCCACCTCTCCACCAAAGTCAACATCGACACCGAAATACAACACTGCCTGAGCTCTGCGAGTGCAGCATTTTTTCCGAATGGAGCAGAAAGCATTTGAGGACCGGGACATCTGTCGGGATACCAAGGTGCTTTGCTATTGTCCTCCCAACCCTGCTATATGTGAGACATGGACTATCTACAAATGTCACACGCAATTCCTGGAAAGATTCCATCAGCACTGCCTCCAGAAAAGCCTGCAAATCTCTTGGGAAGACAGGCGTACAAATATCAGTGTGCTGAAGAAGCAAAGACCACCAGCATTGAAGCAATGGTACTCA